GAGGGGGGCAGTTTGGGGAGGGGGCAGGAATTTTGGGGCGCTTTGCGGGGAGGCGCCCAGGAGTTTGGGGGCAGGAAGGGGGGGCCGGGCCGGCCTGGAGCCCCATCCCGTTCCCAGGGCTATTCCTGGCGCTGGCGTCCGCGCCTCCATCGCCTCCGCCTTCCCTCTCCGCAGGCTCCGCAGGCCCGGGACACGTAGGCGCCGGCGCGGGCTGCGGCCGCTCCGGGATGGTGTCGGTGACGATGGGTGAGTGCGGGGCGGGAGCGGGGATTAACCCCCGGGAACGAGTGCCATTCCCGCGCCATTCCCGTGATGCCAGCGGCAGTTTTGCTCCGGGTTAATCGGCAACAGCAGCTGCGAATGCTTGGAAGGAGCCGCTGGCAGCGCGTGCGGATCCGCATGGAAAAGGGCCCGGAGAGGCGGCGAGCGGAGCCGACGCTCCAGAGCGGCCATTGTCGCCGGCCTCTCCTCCCCTTCTCCTCTCGCCGATGTGTTTATCTAATTCTTTTATAGCCACCTCGGAGTGGATTCAGTTTTTCAAGGAAGCCGGGATTCCTCCGGGCCCCGCCGTCAACTATGCCGTGATGTTTGTGGATAACAGGTGAGGCCGGGAGGAGAACGGCAGCGTTAACGGGATGTTCTCGCCGTGGGTCCCCCTGGGTGAATTCCCTGCGGGAATGGGGCTGCCCAGGCTCTCCCGGCCTGTTTAGTCGCTCCATAGGCATCCGGAGCCTGATCCCGCAGCCCTGTGCTGCGTCCCGCGGACACTTCCCCATTGGGAAGCTGTGGGATGCCCTTGGCAGCCTCATGACTTCCAGCCCTGAAATTCCTGCCCTTTTTGGTCGTTATGGACCTCGTGGTGAGGGAAGGGAGAGGGGTAAGTCCAGCATCATGGCTTCTTTCCCATCTGCTTAATTAGCTGTGTTAATTAGGAACCTGGACAAGTTTCCTCTTTCATTCTTGACCTTGTTTCTTTGTGTGCCAGCTACTGATTCCGTCCTGGGCAGACCACAGAAGCCCAGTCCTTGCTCCAGGTTTAATTAATCTGGGCTCCTTCGGTGCGGGGCATTAGGGACCACCCAGGGAAGTGTCCCCTGCTGCCACCCGCTCCGCTCTGTCCCCTCCAGGATCCAGAAGACCATGCTGCTGGATCTCAACAAGGAGATCATGAACGAGCTGGGGATCACCATCGTGGGCGACATCATCGCCATCCTCAAACACGCCAAAGTCGTCTACAGACAGGTAGGGTAGCACCACCCCCAGAATTGCTTATATTTATTAAGAAAAATAAGGGAAAACTGCTTTTTTGGTGGCTCTACTGATGGTTGTGTCACCTCTCTGCTTGTCCCGTGCAGGAGATGTGCAAGGCGGCCACGGAATCGCTCTGCGCCAGCCCGCCGCGCGCGCAGCCCGAGCTGCACCGCAACCCCGGCAGCGGTGAGCGCGGGGCGGGATCTGCTTCCCGCTTCCCTACGGACCAGGAGGTTCCCCCGCTTCCCTGGCGATTCCCCCGGGCCGCCTCCGGCTCTCCCGCGACTCCCGCTCCTTGTCCTTCAGCTGCCACCCGCATGATTGCCAACAGCCTGAGCAGGGACTCGCCTCCCGCTCCGCCCGTCCGCAGGCCCGACGCCAGCGCTTCCAAAATCTCCATCACCGTGTCCAACAAGCTCGCCGCGAAGAACACGAAAGCAGGTACGGAGGGAAGCGTTTCCCGGTGGGAATGGTGGGGAATGGTTGCTGTGCTGCCGGGGGCCGCTCTTTTTCCTTTCGCTCTGGATTGAGATTGGGCAGTGAGCGTTTGAAAAGCTCCCGCTTTTCAGCGCGGACCTGCTGCGTTGCCCTGATCCGATTCTTGCTCGTAAGTAGTTTGAGGTGAAAGGGGGAGGCCCAAGGAGCCCCAGCGCCCCCGGGCAGTGGCAGAAATGCCCTTTTCTGGGTGTTTCTTGGCACGACGAGGAGCAGCGCCTCAAAGCTCACGGCCTCGGGGTCAGCGCTGCCTCTCCTTGGCCTTTGAGGGCTGTGTGACGCGGCGGACGAGAGCCCCGCGGTGCCCGTGAAGCGCCGCCGCGTGACGGCCGAGATGGAGGGCAAATACATCATCACCATGCCCAAGGGCACCACGCCGCGCACCAAGAAGATCCTGGAGCAGCAGGCGGCCAAAGGTACCGGCGCCGTGTCCCTCTGCGCTTCCCAATCCCGTTTTCCGCGTGTCTTGATGGTGCTTTTGCAGTAGCGTCTTGCAAGCCCCCGGTGCTCCCCGTGCTGCTCTTGCGTGGCCTCCTCTCGCGCCGTTTCCTCGCGTTGCCCTCCAAAGCGCCCTCGTTTTCGTGCAACCCGCAGGGCTGCCGAGGATGTCGGTGTTCGATCGCCTGGGCGCCGAGACGAGAGCCGACACGACCACGGCCGGCAAGGTGAGGTGCCCGGAATCGCCCCGGGGCTGCCTGCGCTCGGGCTGGAGGACGCAGGAGGCCGGAGAGCCTCTTTTCTCAGGGAAAAAAACACCTCGAAGCTGGAAAAACCCCTTGAAACGGTGATGAGGCGCCCTGGGAAAGGGGATGGGGGAAGCTCGGGAGCTGTTGGTGGCTCCAGGGTGACTTGTTTACCCGTCTGTGCTTGGGACCTGCTGCCTTTAAGAGGGGATATGAGAGATTGCTCCCTTTTCTGGGGGAAAACCGGGAAGTTTGGGAGTGTGTTTTTCCACAGCATGCGGAGTCACCCCTAAGGAAATGCTGTTTTAAAAGCCAGGAGCATTTGTGACCCGGGAGGATGGCAAAGGGGGATTCTTCCACAAAAGTAACCAAAACCTCCTCAAAAGTAACCAAACCTGAGGACTTTGGAGGTGTCCTGCTCCCGCATCCCCTGCGGCCTCGATGCCCAGCAACCTCCAACCCTTTTTTTTTTTTTTTGGCCGCCTTTTCCAGCGCCGCTGACGTTCCCTTTGTCGCTTCCCAGCCCACAGGGGTGTTCAGCCGCCTGGGTGACGCGCTGGACGGGGCCGGAGCGGCCGAGAGCGACGATGACGACGGCGGCGACGATGACGACAACTGCTCGGTGCTGCAGTATGCCGGCGTCCTGAAGAAGCTCCCCAAGGGAAGCGCCAGGTTGGGAGCCGCCGTCAAAGCCAAAGCCACCAGCTCGGAGGCCACCCCGGCTGCCAGCCGGCACCTGGGCCCCAGAAAGGCCCCCCTCGAAGAACGCAAAGCCGAGCCCAAAACCAGCCTCGTGCAGAGACTAGGCAAAGCCTCCGTGCCCGCGGAGGCGCAGGACAGCAGCGTCACGAGCACCAGGAGCAGAACGGAGCCCGAGTTCAAGGTCACTCTAAAGAGGAGCTGGGGCAGTGCCAAGGTAAGCAGCAGCAGCAGCGAGAGCCCCGGCGCTCGCATGGACAGCACGGGCCCCGTTAGTGTCTTCACGAGACTGGGAAGGAAGGCGGACTGACGGCGCCTCCGACCGCTCCGTCTTTACCCGCCGTTCCTGCTCTCCGCGCGCCCGGCGCCCTCCTGGACGCCCCTTCCTGCCCCCGTCCTCTCCATTCCTGAGCTCAGGGGGTCTCATCCCGCTCGCGGGCCCGTCCTGGCTAAGCCAAGGAAGGAGGAGGGGGGGAAAAAAGCCCCCCCAAACCCTCCCTGCAAATTCGGCTGCCTCTGGGGGCCAGATGTGCTTGGCCAGATGTGCCCAACCAGCGCTCTCGCTGTGCTTGCTGGTCGCAAACCCCGCGGCCTTCGGTCTCATTCCCTCCCCATTCACTGAAAGCGTTTTTTTATTTTTCTATCTTGTTTTTTTTCTTGTTGTTTTTCTCCTCTGCAGGTTCTTTCCTGTATCTAGGAAGTAGGACCTGGAGGACTCTCCGTAAAAGGGAGGTTACGGAGTTGGGGCCTGGTGCTGGGACTCCTGTTTTTCTTTTGTTTTTGGTTGTTTTTTGTTTTTTTTTTTGAGGGACTGTTGATTTTCTTGTTGTTTTGAGCAGCCTCCAAATCCCAAACACTAGGTTTCCTCGACGCTGCTCCCTGTGCTCCCATTCCTAGCGATCCCACGCGCTCGGAAACCTAAAATCACCCCCCCCCCGCCGTGGATCTACAGCCATTACGGAGTTTTTGTGGCACGGAAACACGGCCTGCAGCAACACTGATCCGCACCTTATCCGGGCACATTGAAAACCTGGTGGTCTGGCTTTGGGGCTGCATCCCAGTAATCCTGTGTGCTGGATGGAAGAGGAAAGGAACGTTTTTGAGTGCTCTTCCAGGAGCTTTTTCCCTAAACGTTTAACATGAATTTCCTTGGGGTTTGCTTTTCCTCCTCCGTCTCTCTTTGAGATGCTCAGGTACAAAAAACGGAGCCTTTTTGCAGCAGGCTCCTGGCCAGCGTGCGGTTTTGGGGCACTTTTTACCCAATTTTTGGGGGTAAAGAGGGAGCGGCGTTGCCGGCAGAGCCTGGGGCTGCAGCTCTGCTGTTTTAACCTCCTGTTTTACTGCAGGAAAAGGAAAAAAACACTGGTTACATCCCTGGCTTTTCTGATTTTATCACTGTATTTATTAAGAACGAGGAAAAAGGGGGGGCTTTTACACTGTGCTCTGTAAAAGCCTCTGCTGCAGGTTGCTGCTTTGCGTTGAGTTTTTGTTTGCTGTGGATTTGTGTCCCCCTTGGCTTTTTTTTCCCCAGTTTTACAACCTGTTTTCCGCCTGCCCTTTAACAACGGGGCAAATTGCGACTGTTTGAGGGGGTAGAGGAAAAAAAAGGGAGAAAAATGAATTTTCCTCCTGTTTCGGGCCGTTTGCTGGTGCACGGGAGGGAAGGCGGAAGGGAGGCCGGGCCTGCCGGATCCCGCGCGTGGGGCGGGCGCCTTTGGGGCAGTTCCGCGCCGCTTTTGTTCGCATTTCTCAACTCAACTGTTTTTTTTTCCTGCGTTTTGTGTCCGTTTTGTGCGAAGGAAGACGTTGGCGGTTTGCACACGCGGCCTCCCCCCGCGCGCCGGGGAGGCTCTTTTGGCAATAAACCCTCCGAACAGCCCCCGTTTGGCTCTCCTGCTTTGCCCGGCTGAGGCCGGCGCAGCTCGACGCGTGTCAGGATGCCCCGATGCCGCGGGTGATATTCAAATGCACGCAAATCTATGCAAATGAGGCGCGGCGGCAGGGGGCGGGGCCTCCACCGGACTCCCCCCCCTCCCCCGCGCAGACGTGGTCCAGTCGGCGGCGCAAGCGCGCCGGGCCCCCGCACTGCGCATGCGCGCTGTTCGCGGCCGGCGGCGCACGCGCAGTGAGCGCGGCGCGCGCGGCGCAAGCGCAGTGCGGCCCCGCGGAGGCGAGCGGGGTCGTTTCCCCCCCCCCACCTCCTCGTTCCCCCCCCCGCCGCCGCCGGCTCCACCGCCTCCCGCCCGTCTCCGCTTCCTGCGTGCGTGGGCCCGGAGGGGGCGGGGTTTCCGGGCGCCGTTGGGGCTGATAAGGCGGAGCGGGGCGGGGGGGACCCCGCCGGGACCGGCATGAGCAACGGCAGCCGCCCGGGCCTGCGGCGTCCATGACAGGTGAGGAGCCGGGGCTGCTCCCCCCCCCTTCCCCCCCCGCCGCGCGCAATGGACCCGTCCGCCCCCCGCCGGGCGCCGCGGGGACCGCACCACCCGCGGGACGGGGGAGGGGGGGCGGAGCGTCCCCCCCCGCGGCGCGCAGTGGGCGCGCCCGCCTCCCGCGGGGGGCGCCGCGGGGACGGCACCACTCGCGCGGTGGGGGGGGGGGGGTTGTGGGAATGGGGCGCAGCGCCCCCCCCCCGCCCTGCGATGGGCGCGTCCGCCTCGAGGTGGGGGGG